TTTAAATAGTTTCGATATACCACCAGATCGTACTAAATATCAAAATTTGTAAGTGCATGATATGCGGTGGTGCATAAATCGGAATACGGCATTAACAGACGCGGAAAGTTATTTAAATCACATTTCTAGTGATACGTCAAATATTTTTGGTTTACCAAACAATGATGGAGTTTTTTGCTACGCTAATTCTTGGGTACGAAGTTTATTTTATTCTATGACTATTAGAAGAATTCTGTTGCAGCATCGTGAAACAGATACTGTCAAATTATTATTTCAACAATATATTAATAAAAATAATATCAACATACGACTATTAAAAGAGTTTGTTGGAGAAGAATACACAACAAGTAAGCAGCAAGATGCCTCTGAGTTTTTATTAAGTCTATGTAATACATCATTTATATTGGAAAATGTTTTAAAAAACGAACAAAGTGTAACAACCAGGTGTCCTGGTTGCGACGAACGACACCATAGTGAGATATCTGATAATATTGTTACTCTTTCTTCGCCAGAGAATTCTCGAATCTGGACACTTCAAGAACTTATAGATTACAATATTGGAAATTGGCAAGAAATTGAAAGTTATTGTGATAATGGATGTCACTTGGAAAAAATTAAAAAACTAGATTTAACAATCAGTAATACTGTAGTAATTTTACCATTTATGTTACGTGAAAAAACTAATAAAGGTTTTGTTAAAATGATGAACTTTAAAATGAATGCAATACTGACATGTAACGTAGATATAAATAGTAGAAAGTATCATGTTATAAATGGAGTATTTCACCACGGTACTACATCACAAGGTCATTACATAAATATGATGCGACAAAAAAACCAGTGGTTTCATATCACTGGTAATAATGTTATCAAAAAACAATGGCCAATATGTGCTAAAGATCTTTATATTTTATTTTTAAATCAAATTTAAAATACTTTAATAAGTTAAATAAAAAAAAAGGAAAATTAAAAAAAGAAAACAATTTACGTAAACAAAATCTGTACGCTCATGTAGGTC